GCTATTACAGTTTAATGTAGATTGCCTTCTGTTTTTGGACAATCAACATCTGCCTTGACACCTTCCATGGTGATTGGATGAAGGTGTATTGGTGTGGATATAAATTATATGGTTTCTTCCTGATACTTATTAGAACTGAAGAAGTGGTTTGGCTAAGCTATGAAGCGTCTTCATCATTCAGAACAAAGCCCAGTTGAATATGGATATGTACTACTAGCTGCAGCATGACCTGGATAAATGAGAACCTTCAGAGACACTGAGGTGTCTAGCTTTAATCATCCAGGCTGACTCAATCTTAATGACAAGTGTTAATTAACAGCATCTCTTGGTAATGACTCCGCCATGTTCAAGAATGTCAGTTATTTAGATTATTAAGTGTCTCTCTCCATAGTGATGGTGACCAGTATCCCTCACTGCAAGATATGATTACAGTTCCAATGCTTGTGGAACTGGATCGGCAACTGTGTCATCCGACCTTGGCAATATGCCAGGTCCTGCCAAATCACTCCTGCCTCTGTGAAAGAGTGCCAGGGGCAAGAAACAGGCGAATAAACGTTGTGAAACCTGCTTGATAGAGGACTGATGCAGAATTCCAGTTTTTGTTTTCATTTTGGAGTGTGGGGAAGGGTTAGCACCTTTCTCAAGTTTTTATAACTCTCTGTGTCCGTGTTAGAGAAGAGTCCCCTCCATTCCCATCCTTAACACAGAACAGGAAATGATCAGAAATCTCCTCAAAGTGAGGGAAAATTCTACGTTTCATAGTTGTAACTGGATGTCCACATTAGGAGATGCCCCCTGACCTTCTTTTCCAATGACAACTGTAAATTTTAGATTTCTAGTGATTGTGGGAGACAGAAAATGAAAGTAAATCTCCCCCCAATGGGTTTTTTAAATTTTAGTTTTGGATAGAGTAGAGAAGGGCTAGAACTTCTCTCCAGTTTTAAGTGCTGTTTGTGTCCCCATTGGGTAATTTTACCCTCATTATTGGTCCTGGTGATTATTGTCACTGAGACAGAAACAGAAAATGATGAGATTTAAAGAGGTCTTTGAAGAGATTTCTTCTTAAGTCTTGTTTGGTGTTTGTGTGTTTGTTTCAGAAAGTGATGGGAAACCTTCCCAATATAGTCTGATGGACCTGATGTATAGTCTAATGTACCTGAACCTCTTCTTACATCCAGTTGTGTCTTCGGGGCAGAAAGTGATGGGAGATCTCCCCGATAGGGTCTAATGGATATGAGGACAAAAAGGAGGGTAACAATGTTTTATTACAACATTGTTACCCTCCTTTTTGTCCTGATTATTCTTGGTTATATGACCTTGATGACCTATTTAAATGATTAATTAAAACATTAAAGGGGATATTCAAGGTATATCAGAACTCCAGGGAACAACCTCCTTTTTCTAATGGATATGAGCCTCTTCTTACGTTCTGTTGTGTCTTCGCAGCAGAAAAAAAATCCTGTGAGATCTCCCCAATAGAGTCTGATGGACCTAATGTATAGCCTAATGTACCTGAACCTCTTCTTACACCCTGTTGTGTCTTTGGGGAAGAAAGTGATGTGAGATCTCCCCAATAAAATCGAATGGACCTGATGTATAGTCTATAGTTAAATCTTAAAAATACATTCAAGTACCTTAATTATTAACAAAATGTATCTTATTTGTGTATCACTCGGGTGTAGATCCTGAAATCATCTCTGAATTGGTGCTGACACTGTCCTTCCTTCTGGAGGGGGGCTACTTTTGTTCCCCACGATCCTTGTGTGTGTTGTAAAGTAGTCACCGCTCCAAGTTCGCTCCCGTGATGGACTACAATCTCAATACAAATTAGTAAACTAAATGTGAAATTGTAGTCCATCACGGGAGTGAGCTTGGAGCGGTGACTACTTTACAACACACATAGTGACCATGAGGAACTAAAGTAGCCACCCTCCAGGAGGAAGGACAGTGTCAGCACCAATTCAGAGATGATTTGAGTATCTACAGCCGAGTGATACACAAATAAGATACATTTTGGTTAATAGTTAGGGCACTTGAATGTATTTTTAAGCTTTAACTCCTGAGTTTAGTGTCACTTTAATGTAAGGGCATTATGCTTCTGGCAGATTAACACAACATTTTGTCATCAGAGGTGCGGCCTGTTACAGTTGGTGGGGCCACTTGTGGCGGCACTATGCAGAAGCAGACAACAAGTAGCGGTAATTAGAGGTTTTTCATGGAGCCCAATAGCAACAGATGGATATGGCCACCGGCTACATCATTGTCAATTGAGACAATAGTGTAACTGAAGTACTGTATGCCTAATCAAGGACAGGTAGCAGGAGTTGCTAGAGAAGAACTGCAGTGCATGGAATAACTTTAAGCTTACTCAGTAGCTCACCAGCATTTTTCAGCATCAGCCAACAAGTGCTGAACGTTGTGGTTTAATAGTCATTACAAAATTATATTTAAAAAAAAGGTATATCATCATCTTAATTATATTCTATTACATAATTGTTAGTGCTCCTACACAATTACTCTACAACCCTAATACGAACTTCATTAAACTGTGGCTTTTCGCAGAAATGCAAACAGCAATTATCTTTATTAGTTTTTAGATAAGGTGATACTTTGGAATTTTGTAGCCTCGGGAAGACTGTGCTAGGCATACAGAGTGATGGTCAGGATTAGGGCTGCAACAACTAATCGATTAAATCGATAATAATCGATTATGAGAATAGTTGGCAACTATTCTCATTATCGGTTAGTTGGTTAGGGGGCAAGGGGAGAGAGAGAGGGAGAGAGGGAGAGAGAGGGGGGGAAAGAGGGAGAGAGAGAGAGAGAGAGAGAGGGAGAGAGAGAGAGAGAGATTTAAATGCAACCAATAATTTAATTGAAAAAATAATCTGGCAACTAATCAATTAAGAAGATAATAGTTAGCTGCAGCCCTAGTCAGGATGACCAGGAGCTCTGAAGGCAATACATTTATTCATAGGTGAGGGGGGAGCAAGGGAGATTAAGCACAGCCTTGGATCAGGGTTAATTATACAATATTTGTATCTTTACATACACTTGATAATTTTCCATGTTGCCTTAACAACATTCCTAGAAGGGCCCCCTTCACATGCCTGGGCCCCATAGCTCTCACCTGGGTTGCTATGGTGCTATAGCTATGCCACTGGGCAGCACAGTGGCTTAGTGATTTGCACTTGGGGGCCCCTGGTTCAAATCCTGATCAGGACACCATCTGTATGGAGTTTTCATGTTCCCCCCACACTCCAAAGACATGCTGGAAGGTTAACTGGCTCCTGTCCAACTTGGCCCTCATATGTATGTACAATAGGGAACTTAGATTGTAAGCTCCTTGAGGGCCGGGACTGATATGAAAATGCAGTTTTTAAAGCACTGTGTAAACTTGTCAGCACTATATAAATAAATATTTGCAGCGATGTGATAGGAGGACTCAACAAGCTCCTCCAGGAGGCGGCTTACCTAGTGACAGCTCTCTGTGCGGCGGATACAGGTCATTATAGAATAGGTCCGTCCAAGAGAAATGTGTTTCAGATAGGGAGGGCATGACAGTGCTGTGTGTCGCAGAGTGTATCATCCCCTGCAACAAAATAAAAATCATTCATTACACCTGAAAAGGTCATTTGACATATTTATAAAAGTTATACATTGCTCCAGTAGACAACACTCAAAGCGCACTCCTGGGATGGACTACAATCTCATGTTTAGTTTACTAATTTGTATTGAGATTGTAGTCCATCACGGGACTGAGCTTGGAACAGTGACTACTTTACAACACACACAGGGGCCATGGGGAACACAAGTAGCCCCCCTCCAGAAGGAAGGACGGTGTCAGCACCAATTCAGAGATGATTTGAGGCTCTACAGCCGAGTGATACACAAATAAGATACATTGTTGTTAATAGTCAAAGTACTTGAATGTGAGCACCACCGATAGTGCAGACACCCCAACTCTCCCGGACGCTCCGGGAGTCTCCCGCTATTGGATAGCGGCTCCTGGCCGCCCGGGAGAGAAACACTTCCTCCCGGAAAGGTTTATCTGCCTTTCCCTGCAATCGTTCTTTTTTTTCTTTTCTGACATCGGGAGCTGCGGCCCGACCGTCAGTCAGAAAAGAAACAAAAAGGCATACGGATGCATAGCTAGATTCCTATTGGCTATTGCACTTTGCAATAACCAATAGCAAACTAGGTAATGTACCCGCCCACTGCTGCTGTCAATCAGCAGAGGGGGACCTGAATTTTTCTATCAGGTCCTCTTCTGGTGATTGAAAGCAGCAGAGGGCGGGTGCAATAGCTAGTTTGCTATGGG